GGATTACTTTGGTCAACGTGCTGTGGAAGATCTAAGTTGGGCTACTCGCGGACTACTTTGGTGAGTGTGCTGTGGAAGGGCTAAGCTACTCAGGGACCACTTTGGTGAGTGTGCTGTGGAAAAGCTAAGTTGGGCTACTCAGAGACCACTTCGTGAGTGTGCTATAGAAGAGCTAAGTTGGGCGACCGGGCGTACTGAAGTCCGAAGTTCTAAAAACCTAACAACCGACAGGCCTACGGGTGAGAAAAACGCAGCTTTTGTTGGCTTGATAAGTACATTGCAACTCTACAACTACCTTGGAATCACTTTGGTAAATGTGCTGTGGAGAAGCTAAGTTGCGCTACTAAGAACTGTGGTTGCTGTGGAAGAGCTAAGATGAGCTACTTAGAAATCAGTTTGTGAATTTGCTGTGGAAAAGCTAGGTTTAGCTACTCAGGGATCAGATTGGTGAATGTGGTGTCAATACTTAGAGGTCATTTTGGTGAATGTGCTGTGGAAGTGCTACGTTGAACTACTCAGGGATTACTTTGGTGAACAAGGATCACTTTGGCGAGCGTGCTGTGGAAGAGTTAAGTTGAACTAGTCAGAGATTACTTTTGTGAGTGTGCTGTCAAAGAGCTACGTTGAACTACTCAGGGACTACTTTGGTGAACAGAGACCACTTTGGTGAGTGTGCTGTGGAAGAGCTACTTTGGGCTACTCAGGGACCACTTTGGCCAGTGTGCTGTGGAAGAGCTAAGTTGGGCTACTCAGGGACCACTTTGGCCAGTGTGCTGTGGAAGAGCTACTTTGGGCTACTCAGGGACCACTTTGGTGAGTGTGCTGTGGAAGAGCTACTGTTGGCTACTCAGGGACCACTTTGGCCAGTGTGCTGTGGAAGAGCAAAGTTGCGCTACTCAGGGGCCACTTTGGCCAGTGTGCTGTGGAAGAGCTAAATTGCGCTACTCAGGGACCACTTTGGCCAGTGTGCTATGGAAGATCTAAGTTGGGCTACTCAGGGACCACTTTGGTGAGTGTGCTGTGGAAGAGCTAAGTTGGGCTACTCAGGGACCACTTTGGCCAGTGCGCTGTGGAAAAGCTAAGTTGCGCTAGTCAGGGACCTCTTTGGCCAGTGTGCTGTGGAAGAGCTACTTTGGGCTACTCAGGGACCACTTTGGTGAGTGTGCTATGCCACTTTGGCCAATGTGCTATGGAAGAGCTAAGTTGCGCTACTCAGGGACCACTTTGGCCAGTGTGTTGTGGAAGAGCTAAGTTGGGCTACCGGGCGTGCTGAAGTCCAAAGTTCTAAAAATCTAACAACCCCACAGTCCTACGGGTGGGGAAAAATCTGAGCATCCACACGCAAGTTGTGAAGTGCTCTGCCAGCAGCTTCGCCCGCGCCAACGGCAACAGCCGCCACCGAAAAAAAAACAACGGCTTGATAAGTACATTACAACTCTACAACTATCCTGGGATCACTTCGGTAAATGTGCTGTGGAAGAGCTACGTTGCGCTACTCAGGGATCACTTTGGCCAGTGTGCTGTGGAAGAGCTAAGTTGCGCTACTCAGGGATCACTTTGGCCAGTGTGCTGTGGAAGAGCTACGTTGCGCTACTCAGGGATCACTTTGGCCAGTGTGCTGTGGAAGAGCT